CGCACGACTGCCACCCCTTCCTTTCCTCCAGCCGGCACTTTCACCGTCGCCTCGAGCACCCCTCCGGTCTCCCCGGGGCTCAGACCCCGCCCAGCCACCACCACCACTTCTCAGAGCGGCCCCACACGGACACTTCCCCTGGAGAGCTCCGCCTCAAGCCCCCCTCCCCGATCTCACCCCCTCAAAAACCCCTCCACTTCCCTCCTTCCCTCCCATGCCGGATCTCCCGGAGCTCAGCCGCCCACCTTCTTCCTTCCCCTCCGGAGACTCACCCGCCGCAACTTCCGAGAGGCAAGGAGCCCCCCCACCGCCTCCACCCCCACACACACAAGCACCACAGTTCCGGCCTTTCCCCGCAGGTCGCTCAGCTCTCCCTGCTGGGTGGGGGGAGAACAAATCCCGCTTCTAGCCTTCAGCCGCCGCCGCCCCCCATTCAACGGGCCCAACCCCACCCCGGCCAGTTTCCCGGGCCCGATCACTCGCTCTCACCTGCTACCCGCAGCCTCCTCCCTTCAGCACCTCCTTCCCGTACCCTGACAACAACTCCCGCCTCCTCTACCTGCACAGCAGATTGGCCGCTACAGCAGGAGTTGCTTTTAGTTAGTGGCGGCCACCGCAGCCCATCAATCTCTGGACTCCGCCTTCCACTTTCCGAACATTTTAATCCACTCTGGTGCTTTATCGCCCCCACTACTTTCCTTATCTTTTTTTTATTGGTTCAAACTGTAAAAGGGGGCGCCTACGATAGGTCAGAAAAGATATCAGTTGTGAAGATATCTCCGCCTCCCGTCACATAGGTAGACTAAAGAGTCTAATTCTGCTGGGTTTGGTTGCACAGGAGGGAGGGCCACCGTTACAGTGAAGTGACTGACCTGGGCTTAACCTTTCGCTGATGCTGGGTGCGTTGTTTTCGTCTCGTCTGGGTTTACGCAGATAGGGTTTGTTGCTTTTTAAGGATGATTAACTCAATCCCATTTAAGGAAGAGTAGCAGAGATCACATATATTACCACCGGTGGGCTGCTGAGAGGACAAAAGGGCCCTAGACAAGGTGCTTCCCTAAACGGAGAGAGGAGCCACTTTGCTCTTCTGTTACAGCAGTGGATATCAGGTGACTGGTCCACTCGTAGTCTATCCATCCTGTGGCTTGCCCAGACTGAACCTGGCAGCCGCTACCACATAACTTGCTGGAGCTGAGCTCAGTGCCCACTACTGCATGGCTTGCCCAGTAATGGCCACCATACTGGCCCTGGCTGTGGCCATCATGCAACTTGCCTGGTGGAAGCTGCCTCATGGCTTACCTGAGCTGGCCCTACAACTTGCTGAGTGGTAGCCACTGTGCAGCTTGTCCAAGCTGAGCTTGGTGGTCGCCACTGCCACCAAGGAGATGTAGCCCCCCCCCCATGGCTATCAGGCCACCAGGACTTTTCACTGTGTCCGTGGTGACCAGTCTGCCCCTGTGTATTACAAATATGAGGCGTCCCAGGTCAATCTGTTGGTTTTCTCAGAATAGCGGAACTGGGAGACGCCCCCTACTAGGGCTGCCAGTTTCCTGCTGGATAGATAACACGAGAGAAGGTCACGAAAAAAGGTTGTAGCATCACAAACACATGTTTCCCACTGGAGGCAGGGCGTCCCTTACCCCTGGCTCTCATTCCCTGCTGCCACTCCTGTGCCCAGCGGGAGAAAAATAATCTTTATAAATTGCCATCAGGCAAAGGTGCGACAGATGTCACTTTCAGGAAAAACCTGGACAAGATGGTTTTACTCTGGAGTTTCTGGTGATTCCTGGAGAGATGTGATGTCATTCCTGGTTTTTGTATGGAAGTGATGTCACACTGTCATCCAGTGGTGCCCCACCATGCCCACCCTACATGCACCTGCCTGTGCCCAAATGATAATCTGTAGCGCACAAGATTGTCACAGCTCTGATTTGGGAAATTCCTGGAGATTTGGGGGTGCTGTCTTGGGAGGGCAGAGTTTGGGGAGGGAATGGTGCTCAAAAGAGTTTTAATGCTAGACTCTGCCCTACATACCTGCCATTTTCTTTAGGGGAACTGTTCTCTGCAGATTAGCTGTAATTCCAGGAAAACTCTAGGCCCCAATTTATAGTTAGTAACCATGGCAGTACAATTTCCTACTGTGACATGGGGGGGGGGGACTTACAGCTCTAAAACATTTCTGATAGCTTTTGTTGTTATTAAAAATAGAAAACTAAATTTCCCAGCTTGGCAGATGGGTTAAATCACTCTTATTAATAAGATCTGTCACCACTTGTAATGTCTTTCTTTTTAAAATGTCGAAACTATCAACATTCTTACTCCTCATTCATTTTCTTTCTTTATGTAAGTCTATGCAGTTCAATAGCTTTATATGTTTTCAAATGTGGACTCTAATCTGGAAGAACCGGGTTTGATTCCCTACTCCTCCACTTGCAGCTGCTGGATGACCTTGAGCAAGCCATGGTTCTGACAAGAGCTGTCCTTGAAAGAGCACACCAATTACACTGGTTGCCAATTGAGTACCGGATCCACTTCAAGGTACTGGTATTGACCTTCAAAGCCTTGCACAGCCTGGGACAGACATACCTAAGGGACCATCTCTCCCCATATGTGCCCTAGAGAGCCTTGCACTCTGCCGATCAAGATCTGCTGGTTGTCCCTGGCTCAAGGGACATCTGTTTAGGCTTGACCACGACCAGGGCTTTCTCTGCCCTGGCCCCAACCTGGTGGAACATGCTCCCATGTGAGATCAGGGCCTTGCGGGACTTTCTATCATTTTGCAGGGCCTGTAAAACAGAGCTGGTCTACCAGGCCTTTGGTTGAGGTAGCAGGCATCCAGTAAAAAAATTGGCATCCCCTGGGGAAGACACCATTTCCATGCAGCCCGGATTAAACAAATTTAGAGTCCAGCGGCACCAGTACTGGAGACTGAAATAACTGGTGCGATCTGTTTTAAATTCTTTGGTTTTTAATTAACTATTTACTGTTGTGTTTTTTGTAATGCCAAATAGCCTAATTACCTGTTGTGATCCGCCCTGAGCCCATTTGCAGGGAAGGCATAATATAAATTTGAAGAATGAATGAATGAATGAATGAGTGAGTGAATGAACGAACGAATGAATTTGCATTGGCTGCAATGCAATAATTATTTTTCTCCCCCCAAAAATGAAAAATGGATTTTGGCAATTTAGATGATTTAAGAGCATTTGACAGAGAAGAGTAAGACTACTTTAAGTTCTTCAATAATGTAATCAACATTATCTCTAATTGATTAGTAGGTGATCAATTTTGCTAAATTATGTTATATTTGTCTGGTATTTAATTTGTTGTTGTTCAGTCGCACAGTCGAGTCCGACTCTTCGCGACCCGATGGACCAGATCACGCCAGGCCTTCCTGTCTTCCGCCGTCCTCTGAGGTTTGCTCAATTTCATGTTCGCTGCATCTATGACACTGTCTAACCATCTCATCCTTTGCTGTCCCCGTCTTCTTTGACCTTCAATCATTCCCGGCATCAGGGTCTTCTCCAGTGAGTGCTCCCTTCTCATTGGGTGGCCAAAGTATTTGAGCTTCAGTTTCATTATCTGGCCTTCCAAGGAACAGTCAGGGTTGATTTCTTTTAGGATTGACTGATTTGATCTTCTTGCAGTCCAAGGGACTCTCAAGAGTCTTCTCCAGCACCACAGTTCAAAAGAATCTATTCTTTGGCGCTCGGCCTTCCTTATAGTCCAACTCTCGCAGCCATACATGACTACTAGGAATACCATTGCTTTGACCATGCGGACTTTTGTTGGCAGGGTGATGTCTCTACTTTTAGGTTCGCCATCGCTTTCCTCCCAAGGAGCAGGCGTCTTTTAATTTCATGGCTGCTGTCACAGTCTGCGGTGATCGGGGATCCCAGGAACGTGAAGTCTGTCACTACTTCCACGACTTCCGCTTCTCTTTGCCAAGGAGTGATTGGGGCCGGATGCCATGAGCTTAGTTTTTTTGATGTTGAGCTTCACGCCCACTTTTGCGCTCTCCTCTTTTACCCTGAGCAAGAGGCTCTTTAGGTCCTCTTCACTTTCTGCCATTAGAGTGGTATCGTCTGCATATCTGATATATATCATATATATCAGATATCATATCTGATATCATATAATTAATTTAATAACCAAAATTCACTTAGCAATAATTCACTCTTAAAACTGTTTACTTGGAAACAGATTACTTCCAGGTAATTCTTTGGATTGCAAACTCAAGCATGGTACAAAAGACCGTTTGCATTACACAATGCTCATTTTTAAAAACAATCTACATTTGACAGATATTGGATTTATACCTATGTGGTTTTAACATGCTCATTTTGTATTAGTGATCGGGGATAATGAAGTGTAATTTTTATATTATCTGGTTATTATTTTATATTATCTGCTTCATTCTCTGAACATGTATGACTAAACACTGTCAGCAATGCTTCCCTTGAATTGATCATCTCTCCATTTAAGCTTCTGTGTGATTCTTGCTTGAGGATTCTTTAAATATTTTCCAGAAGAGTCATAATTGGCTGTGGGTGTTGCTATGAATGCAAAACCATAAGATAGCAGAACTAGTTTTGAAGTTTTGAAAATAAGGGTCAGTACCCATATTATAATTAATCATATGATAATGGAAGTAGTTCTGCAGGTCACTAATTGAAACCCTTTTGTTGGAATCCTTAGTACATACAACTAGCCTTGGGTTGGGCATGAAATGCAAAATGTTTCTGCTTCACCAGAGTCACCAGCAAGCATTCTGAGATACCATCCTTAGTAATGTACAAAACATTTGTGGTCCAATTTTGGATAAAAATTGGGAAAGTAAAGGAAGGAAGAGCAGTTGTCAGCATGAACAGGGATTTGGACCAGACTATGGAACCTCAGAAACAAGATGGCTTAGAAAAACCGAAATTGCTTTCCCATGGAAAGAATTATAAAGGGAATCTACATTTATTTATTAATTCATTCATTCCTTTATTCGATTTATACCCCGCCCTCCCTGCCAAAGCAGGCTCAGGGCGGCTTACATAAAAAGTTAAAAACACATAAAACAGCAATTATAAAACAATCATAAAGTGCTAGTGACAAGGCTACTGACAGCAATAGTATTGCATAGCGATGGCGGAAACGTATGGTGGAATAGTCAGTGTTGATGTTCAGTTTATCTTAATCTATTTATGCCGGCAGGCACAGGCTGCTGATGGTAGTTCCAGGGGAACAGGCCTTGCCACAGTTCAGTTATTAGATGCGGCTCCTTGATTAAAGGCCTGGTGGAAGAGGTCTTGCAGGCCCTGCGGAACTGTAAAAGGTTGATTGTGTTTTAGTATTAATAAATACATCTTCTGCCTTCTAAAAATGGGCCAGGAAGTGAACAGTGACTAGTCTTGATAATTTCATTTACT